TCAAGGTGTCCTGTGCCACGTTAATTTTACTATTTAATGAAGAGAAGCAGAACATACCGGGAGAATTAGCCTCAAGCTATGATGGGATTATGATAGCCATGACAGCCAAGCAAAGTGATCTGGGGCGACTCTCACGTCCAATTCATCAAGAACACGCTGAGGAATGACTCATTGGGCCTGATGTCACCCTCTTTAGCACCATCTATCCCAAAACTCGACGCCACGCACGTGCCGTCGACGTTCCGCACTCTCACGACTCGTGCTAAGATCCTGCACGTGGCTCACTCCTCCTTCTCCTGCCTTTCCTACCCCGACGCCCACTCTCTGTTCATTCGGTCCCTGCGCTGCTGCCCACTGCTGTTCTTTTCAGATACCATCCTTTCTCTCCAAGGACCGCCCAGCCAGTCCACGGCACCTTAGAGACAGTTGCTCACGACGCGCTCGCTGTTCCCACAGTCTTGGTGGAGGAGACGGCTGCCAGACAGTTTGCGAACAATTACACCGAGGTCTCCCAATTCAGCCAAGCCGGCTCACCACCCAGCCTCGAAGAAACTGCCTACTTAAATACACACACACGCATGCACAAGAGAGCCTCCATCTTTTAAACAAGTCTTACAAACCTACAAGAAATCTGCCAGTGTATAATGTCCTTGCATTAGTCATAATCTCTTGGGATGTTTATTTTCAGACTGGATTTTAGACTAGTCTGTGAATTTGGTTTGGGTTTTATGATGCTGATGATGATGATTATTATTATTATTTTAACATTCATTCCTATTTCACACCTTTCAGACGAAAATCTTTTTCGCACATATGAAACATGCATTTTTTATTCACCATGTCAGACAATGCCCCGAACATAAAGAGAACCATTTCTTCAGAAATATGTTGACTCAATGTTTCCAGTTCCAAATTTTATTGTCACACATGTTCCGAGGAACACGGTGATACAATTTCAGGGTGGGGGACAGGTGGAATGGAGGTGGGGACAATAAAACATATTCACTGCAAAGCGACATATTAAGCCATGATTCACTCCATCGAGTCACGTGGGGAGGGGGGCCTGGAACCAATCCCCCTACCGGAAGCCAGTCCATCATAGGGCAGCAATAATTTTTACCCGTTTTATCACAAGCTCCAGTAGTACAGTACATCTCACATTTAAGTTGCGATTCTCAAAATTAAGCTCAACACCATATTTAACTTTTGGTACGTGGAATATAAATTTCAGGCTTTACGCTGGATTGGAACAAAAGCAGAATTTCTGTTTCGGTAACGAGGCCGACGCTTGATTTACGTCCAGCAGGACAGAATTCTAGCGAAGACGACAAAACTGATAGTGGGCAGGCAAATTGTTTTATCTCGACACGGCTGTTTTCCACTTCGGATGAAAACTATGCATCATATTAACGACCGAGTTGTTGAAATACCGCGAATATTCATCCATCACACTGAAGAAGTGCAGGGAGACGGCGTTACCGCCGGAGCCGGCAAGGGAAGTCGCTCCATGGCTGGCGGTAAATGTTAATGCGCACACACACACACACACACACGCACACAGACACACGCGCGCGCGGACAAGCACAGAGATGAGCTAGGAGTCTCTTGACTTGCAGCCTAATGATAATGAACGACCCGGCAGGTCCGGCGACTGAAACACTCCGTCATTCTTTGTCAATCGAACGGACGAAGGCCAAGGTTACATACAAACTGTCACAATGTCTCAGTCTAATGGCACATCAGGTAGAATTCACAAGTCCAGGCCCCACTGAAAAGACAAAGCGACTTGATCAATGGCCACTTATGCATCTGTTTTATTATTATTTATGCTGCCTAGCTGACACTAATTCAAAGCTAAACACAGTCCATAACATTATATTTCCATCTATTGATATGACTGAGTATATTAACAGGCGAAATTAGTTAACTGCCTCATTTAAGGGCAGTACAGATGGGCCCATCTTGGATCTTGAACCTGGAAACTCGTAAACATCTTTAACCGTTATGCCACCTACTGCCCTTTCAGGGTAATGCATTTAAAATGAGCTGGTCACATCAGCCCGAAATATGCATTCAAGACAAAAACAGAAACACTGGCAAAAATTGAGGTTCTACTTTACGTTTAAACGTTTAAAATGTTTAATTCACGGATGAATCATGATTTCCTAAAAGCGTAATGCACCATGTGCACGCAATCATCTGTTAGTTCATCCTCATTAAAACGGCGCCCTTGAGAGAATCCGTTGTGCTATAACGGGACTTATACCGCGGTGGCAGCGTGTTCCTGAAGAAAGCGCTGACAATCTACTCACACCAGCTAGCAAAAGGCGAAATTCAAATGGGGGGGGGGGGGGCATTTAGTTTCAAACAGGGAACCTCATTCAGTATGTTTGGGAAAGAGAGAAAGCATGTCTTTCAGATGATCTCCGCGTCCTTGGCCGTCCTCGTTCTGACACAGTGATCGCTCCTTACATAAACAGCAAACACAAGGCAGAATCAAAAAATATTCATAAATGACACATTGTTGCTATTTATCTGTCCCACTGGCACATGACAGATGCCACGGAAACAGATCACAGAAGTCTGATTGTGTCATTAAAACGACAGCCTATCCAATGTATCCACTTGAGCACCTCCCCCCCCCCCCCAAAATGCTTCGGGGAGGAGCAGGACAAATGGCCTGACCCCCCATTCGGACCTCAGGCTTCTCTCTCAACCGTGTATATGTGTGCGCGTGTGCATATCTGATTGGAGAGCGAGTTGGGCCTTGTGGAGAAAAGCATTCCAACGTAGCCGGTACCTCGTACTCGTGCAAATGGCGACTAAAGCATCGTTTCATCTCATCATAAAGTTGCTTTACCTGCTGTCAGTTTTGTTTTAAGGGACCAGGAGGGAAAACAGGAAACGGCAAAACTCATTCCGTCATAGAAGAGGGACAAATGAGAAAAGATATATATATAGATATATATATATTCACAGAGGCACTGCTCCATTGTAGCAGCCCCTGCTGGAAGTAACTGGGACCCAGTAGGACAGGCACAGCCAACCGCTGTGTACGAAAGATGCTGAATAACATCAGTTTGTGGGAAGGAGCCAGTAACCTGGATCTCAGACCCAACAAGGGGACTTACTGGTGACTAATCCACCATAGTGATTAATTCGGGGATTTCAGTGCAAGCCCCCACCCCCTCCCCCCGCCCCCCCAGGCCCGTAAGGAAATCACCCAACAACTCACACCATACAAAGTGGTATGTTAGTGTGGTGTCACCTGCCCAGGCCGGCCTGCACCCAAATGTGCGAGATTTCATAACCAGCCCACAACAGCCGGCTGCCATGATTCACCAACCGAATCATAACTGTCTGATAAAGACATGTAGTTACACTCTCTAATGCATTACATGTTACAAGCATTTCCCAGGGAACTCGTAAACAAACGCAAAGACAGCCCAGGGCAAGAGAGTTAAATGCGTATTTCCCACCACCAATATGGAAAAATGTAAATATGCTAAGAAGTTTTTCTCACTTATTCATTTTGAGAAAAAACATCTCCTTCAGTGAATACACTATTTGGGGAATACTACACGAAAGCAGGCTAATGTACGAATCAGGGAATATTTAACGCTCTGAATGCATAGTAATTCCGGGATGGATATTTACTGTGAACTTCTGCAATGAAATAATCCTTTCAGAACAGACAGACAGACAGACAGATAGACAGATAGATAGATAGATAGATAGATAGATAGATAGATGGGTTTTCCAGTGTTTTTGGGGGAGGGTAGAATGACCCCCAATATAGACTGGGCATTATTAACACACTCCTGTCAGTCTGGAGGATGCCACATCACTCAGCGGTCAGTTAAAGCAGCGCTTCACCAAACGTCACAAACAAATGCGCAGGAGAACACAAAAAAACGGGTTAAAATAGCTGGTCATTCATCTGAGTGTTTCCAGCTTCCCCATCTACGCGAGCCCCAGACATTCACAAATATAAAATTCTTACTCAACTTCCCTGCTCTCTGTGTTACTTAAGTATTTGCGCGTTTTTCTCCTGCAGTTTGTCGAAATTAACAAAAAAAGAAAAATACGATGGACAAATCAGACCAAAACAAAAAATCTAAAAATAAACACAGTACACATGTAATACGACCCATCATAGTAACTCAGTGAAGGAGCAACATGTGATCTATTGAAAGCAGCCCTCAGTCAGACTTCTGCAGTGCTCTGGATGGAGCTTAATAGTTGCATCCAACTTCCCATTCACTTCAGAGCTGAGTGGGGGGGAATCAATACATTTCCAGCTTGGATCTCGTTATACTGCCCGAACTCCCGATATAGTGATTTGATGCTCTGTTTCCAGCATTATATTGCAAGGAGGTCCGTTTCAAAGACACCTTGGAACTTTGTAGATAAATGTAGCACTCTATAATAACATTATTATGAGGAGATACTCTGAAGTTTTCCTTAACTTGAGAATATATCAATATACAGACGCAGTATTCGTCTTTTCGGCTGTCCATCGGTCACGAGTTAATACAGACAAGGCGTGCAGGTGATTGATAGAAAAGATATTGAGTGAACAATGAGTGTAAAGTGCTCTGCAACACAGAGTGGGGCTACTTATGCTTTTTGGCCTCTCTAATGCCGTGTGCCCTCTTTATTAAATAAAAAGAGAGAAAGGGAGACGGTGAGCTATATGCTACAATAGCCTACGGTGCACTTCCCAGGCAAATATCGCAACACACATTTTAACGGAGGGTAAGGGGAAAATGCATCAAAGCAGTAACGCGGTAATTCCAATTAATATAAATGAGTATTATGAGAATAAATGAGCCAGTGTGAACAGCACCGATTCACAGCACCAGAAACCACTTTTACCGGAAAAACAAGTGCAACTCCTTTACCCAGTTAGAAATACAAATGAACCGAGAAGACGCACCAGAGACACTAACGAATATATAATTAATGGCTATTAAAACGGATTCTAAAATGTTACTTACTAAGGTGTCCAGATCACATATGTTAGGAAATCCAGAGGAATCTTATCTTTCTTCTCCCTAGTCAGAAACAGCGATGCTTTCTTATTCCAGACAGAACCCCTTAACTGCAAGAGAAAAAAAATGCATGAGTCAAATCATTCCCCTTAAATATATGAAGATTTCCGGAAAAGTGCTATCAGACAGGAGAAAAAGACGGAAAAAAGGACGCGTCCGCTGTAACGAGCGGCTGCAGTTTCTACCTGCGCTTTCAATCCCGCCGCCGCAGATGCGGAGAGTGAATCGGAGCGGTAACCGGGGCAAAGTGAGCTTCCCCTGCTGACAGAGCCGCTGTCAGGTCGCCCCTCGCACTGCTGCCGACGCCGGGGAAGCGAGTGAGAGGAGATCGCGGAGGAGACGGGGGGACGCTCCCGCACACCTGCACTTCCGGCAGCGGCCGCTGGAGGGCCGGCTGCTGGAGCGGGACCCCGGCATGTGGAGCGCAGAGGGGTGCCGTGAAAAAGGCGCTTTATTCATATCGAGGGGGGTGGGAGTCCATCGGCTTATACACTGATATTTAACTAACCCTAACCCTATCGACGCTGCTGTTTTCAATCAGACCCGCATATCAGAGTATCTTAAGTGTGCTCACTTAAGGAATGTTGCTTTCTTCATAAGGCGCACCACCTAGAGTATCAATAAAAATTTAGTGAGTATAAAACCAGCTGGGAGTAAAAATAAACAGTAAAAATGGCATAATTATTCATACTCTGTTAACCGATAAGAAAACGAACAATTAATGTTAAATAGAAAATGTTTGTAAGGACGGTAAATGTAAGTCTATTTAAAAAATATTGCAATCTTTATTAACATTATTTGTTGGGCTGTTACTACTTATGGTTTCCAAGTCGATTCATTAAGTAATCTGTTTTGGGCATTTGTGACAGTAATTTTTTGTATTCTTTGCGCTGAAACCGAGATGGTTGTCGAATTTTACAGCATTTCCAAGAATGATGCGGCCGAACAAACAAAAGGAAATAGCCTACTATTCTGTCACTAACTGCTACATACAGACCAACCTATAGCACGTACCCTCCCAAATTTCTGAGTGAATATGAAGAAGAGACAGCGGGAGGGATAGAATAACGAGTTATGTTGTGAGTTATTGGTTTTGGATTGGACACAGAGTACCAGCGGCTGTGGGCAAGCGTGTAGTAAATCTGGCACTTGGGGGTCCATGGCCTGCCAGTACTTTTGACTTACTTCGTCATTTCCATACATGGTCGCCGCGAATAAATCTGATCAGGCGGTTTTAAAATACCTGCGATTTCGTCGTTCGTTCCCATTAAATATTCTTGGCTGCAAATGCAGCGCATTGGGTCTCTGAAAAGATTGTAGGAGGCGCAGCGAGGGGTTTTTGACTTTAATCTAGTCGCAGGTAATGATTTCAGCTATACTTTGTCTGTGGTAAAATAATGATAGCGTACAGACGGGAGATCAGATGGCACGAGCACAAACGTCATTTTAAAACGCGGAAATAAATAAATAAAACGGGAAAGTACTTATCTGTGTGTATTTAGGGATCGACGGTGGGAGGGGTGTTCTGTGACGTGGACTCGACCTGCCACTGGAGATCTCGTGCCCAGTGTTGGGGACGTTGCTAACAAAAGTAATCCGTTAAAGAGAGAGGTAGAAAGTTCAGGTCCAGAAAGTACAAATCCAGACCAAGGTTTTGTTCCAACCAACCAGTTGAGTACTCTGTGACTGTGACTCTTCACACTCAACTGGTTGGCTGAAACTAAACCTTGGTCTGGATTTGAACTTTCTGGACGTGAACTTTCTACCTCTCTGTTTAACGGATTACTTTTGTGAGTGACTTCCCCAAAATTGCCGGTGCCTGGCGGGGCCCTCGTCCAGCGTAGGGAGCTCCTTACCTGAGAACAACCAGACTGAGGACTGGAGGCCATATTATGGGAATCAGGGGTGTCGGAAAGGGGGTGAAAGTTAAGATGATTCCAAGGGCCCCTGAGTGACAGGGGCCCTTAAATATTTGGAACATAATTGGATTGGTCTGGGTTGTGGGGGGCCCAGTGTGATAGGCTTTCATGGGGCCTAAAATCTCTAGCAACCCCCCCACCTCTTATATAAGAGGGTCTGTCAGCTCTGGTTGGGCTTTCACACAGATTCTCACATAGGATCCCCAGACATGGCTACATCCGTGCTGATAATAATGTTCACTTCGGCAGGGGGGGGTGGGGCGGCGTCGGGTGCAGTGGTGGGAATTAAGCTGTGGCTGAAGCGTTACATTGGGGAATATGTAGCCATTAAAACGACATGATCGCTCATTGAACAAGCACACGAGAGCACCCAGACTCTCCCCCGATTTACACAACGCTCGATTCTAACGCTAATTATGAGCACTCCCTGGGTGAAAGTCAATAAAATAAATGAATGGCATTAAAGCGTCCCGGCACACGTGTAATTAGATTTAGTCATACCTGCAGAATAGGTGCCCTGTGCTGCCTGACCTTCTACCGGATGAGTCGTCAGAACCTGGATGAGCGAATGGGCCCACAGCATCTATCTGGCATGGCCAAGATTCTGGGCTTAGTTCCCGTCCCTGGCCGCATGTGTGCGGTTTTCCGGATCATGACGATGTCGTCCCATAGCCCACAAATATGGGTTTGGGTCATTCCGCACTCGCTGCGTTCTGTCTGACGCTCTGGCATCCCCCTCCACAGTCTCCCCTGCTCCACGCCTGCCGGGTGTCCGTGACCCTGCGCTGGGATGGAAATAGTCATATCAGCAGTACAAGGTCGATCAAAAGCAATACTCCCTCCATTGTGAAGTATCAGATTTGTTTCTTCATTATAGGTTTTGTAATCGAATAATTTTAGAAATGCAGATGAAGTCACTATCACGTCATTGACGTGTCTAAGTTGTTTGCTATATGCATTTGTTCCTTTATCAGTTACTAGTTTTGTCACCTCTAGTGAATTGCCGGATTTTAAAAGTCCAGCCCTCTCCCAGCGCTCTTGTGATACATCCATCTTCCATAAGTGCTTATCTAGGAAAGGGTAACAGAGTGTCTGGAACGTGTCTCAGGAACGACGGGATGGGGGAGGGGATACCTCAGATGGGATGGCAGTCTATCACAGGACTCGCGAATTTTCCAATGCCGGTTTGATTAATCATATGTTTTTTGACTTAGTGGCGAAACCAGGAAGCTTTCACAATACATGGGGAACATGCATGCACCAGAAATACAGAGTAGGGCTCAGTTTTGAACCCCCACCCTGAAGGTGTGACAACGGCGCCCCCCACTGGTCCACCGTGCCATCCTTCATTGCAATCCTCAATCACATAAACGTTTCATAGCGCACAAGATTAAAAATATAATTGCAATGACATGGAGAAGTGGAGGCAAGCTGCAGAGTGACTTCTTAAGGCATTAAATTCTAAATTTTGAAGCTTAAACCCAAATAAAACACAGTGGAAACGGAAAAAACGGTTGCACTGTTACAATCTATACTTGGCATCAAGTGGTAGAAATAATTATTTTGATTTACTACAGTTTTACACCCGCTTTGTGTTTTTGGGCCTGTTGTTTGTTATAGTCTTAATATACAACTTGTTATAACTTCATGATGACAAATGGCTCTCCTGTCCACAGGGTGCTCATATACTTTAACCTCTCAAGGTGCATCATTCTCCTTAACAGGTGGCATTACATATTTTCTGGAAGGGGCCGCTTGTTTTTGACACACCCCATTTACCCGACACGCTGTTTCCAGTATATTGCCCTTGTAAGTGCACCCCCCCCGGTCACTCACCTGCTGCAACCAATTAAAACGTGCAGCTTGTAAATATATTGTGGCCGGTAGGTACAGCAAGAGCCTCGCAGTGAGGTGTTCCAGCATTCTGACGTTTGTGTGTGTGCTTGTCTGTGAGGGGTGTATATAGGGGGCGGGGCCACAAGGGGCACTGGCCCCAGCTGAAAGCTGATTGGCTCCTGGAGTGTCCCATCTCCTGTCACTCACTGATTCAAAACATATCATTGGCTAATGATGAGGTTGACCTGTACGCATGAATTATTGCCCCTCTTATGTCCTTGACCTTAAAAAAAGAATCCATGATTCGCTGATGTTATCAGTGTGTTCATGCGGTGGACCAATAGGATTATGTGGGATACATGTAAGATGCTTAAATTTTGTTTGGGAGTAGAGGTTAGTTTAGCAGACAAAATACAATATTGGCATAAGGGGAAATGCATGAAAAACAGGGTGGACATTCGGTGTAGGACAAGGTTACAGTGGATGTGGAATCATGCATGAGGTGCATTGTCTGGGCCAGGAGAAGAACAACACTGAATCTTATATCACGCATAATAGGGCGCAGGTGATGTAAAAGAAAGCTCGTCACCTCACCGTCCTCTGCGCTCCTAATCCTGCCACATTTCCATGGGAACAGTATGTCTGCATTACTCCGAGATTATAACCATTTATGACCGTCTCTGCTGTTTTATAAGGGTAGTTCATATACATACTTAAAACCGCAGTCTTATGAGACGGTTAATGGCTGTAATGCCATTAGAATATCGAATATCTGAGGGGAAGGCTGCACAGCTAGTAACAGTGATATTAATTACCTGTCAAATTAATTTCTCAAGTGAAAATACTGTACCATATGGTTTTCTAGTCTTCATTTAACTCCTCTGCCTGTTCATGCTCGGCGTAATCAAAACCACCGCTTCACAAAGACAGATAATACAGCAACTGCTTTCATGAGATTACTTTAATTAGTCCGGTTTACATCTGTATTTATCAGACTGACAGGAATGCCCTGATGCTGAACATTTCAACAACAGCAGGCCGATGTCGCCCTCGCCAAGAGATTAGCATTAGCGCGTTTCTCCGACATCATACACGAAGACCTTATTCTTCGACATACTATGCGCACGCTAACTCGCTAAAAATTAGCCTGTGTTTTAATCAGTGCCACAGCTTCTTGCCACAGAACACAAGTGAGATTAGCCCAAAACGATGGCATAAGACTCAAAATCAGCAAGTGGTTAAGCCCTGCAACTCTTGGTTTGTGTTTGCTTTGTTTTTAACTTAAAGGTTATGATACGCGGGGCAACTTTTTGACCGATGTTGCCAGGCGATTGCCCACCAAGTGCGACAAAGGGCAACTTTGAGGCTTATAATCCAATGATATAGCTGAAAGCGTGAGTGTTGCACCAGATGTGTGAGAGCTGGCAACCCTGCATTGCCAAAGAGAGGAACATTTCATAACAAACACCATGTCATATAATATTGAAGCTATTTAATAAACTCCTACAGTAGGTAAATTCCTAACTTAATAGCTGCATAATTAGCAAACTGGCCTTGAGTGGCTGAGATAAATTACCGGTAACCATGA